CTGCCCTATGCAACAAAGTTGTTTTAAAGCAAGTCTGAACACAGTAAGTGAAATTACTAGGGCAAAAAGTCTGAGGCAATCTATTTTTAATCCTTGCGGTGACCCTGAAGCAACGTCATTAATACTGAACTCCAAAAGATGGATGTTGATAGACGTTGGCCATAGCCATTCGATGTACTAATTTTAGGCTTTTTTGAGTTAAAATGGACTAATTATGGCAATTAAAGATGGGATGACAGTTTTTGGATTCGAAGCCCCTAGAGCATGGCATGTTTGGGCCAATTAAGCCTCCGAATTTGGAGCCTCATCGATGCATCACGCCAACCGATACAAGTCTCCGAATTCGAAGCCTAATCGGCGAAGCGATCATGACAAGCCGGCACGTAACCGTTCGGAATTAAATGACTACTTAAGCCAGACAATGTTTATACAATGAAAACATATGCAAACACGTGTGTGCCGAATGTAGATTACAATGAAACATTTAAAATAGGATGTTTTATTCAATCAGGCAGCAATTACACAATTACATAGTATTTTTATATGACATCGTCCTCATCCTCACTCTTCTCGACTTCAAAAGTAAAAAATGAAAAATGATTACGTTGGTAGAATGGCAGCGCCGATTCTCACATCGGCAAACTTCTTTGGCGAGCTTCTCTTTGGTCTTCTGAATTCTGACCAGTCGGCCGTCATGAAAGCCCTTTTCATAGGCCACGTTTCTCGCAGTCTCGATCGCAAACATGCTCACCATATTACGATCGGCGATCGCATCACTAATCAGCCTTTGAGTAACCCTCTCTGCGACAACCGGGTTGGGGGGGACGGCTGATTGGGGCGACTCAGGCTTGTTTTTCCTCAGCTCGCGCTCGGCCTTTTCGGCGCGAGCTTCTAACTTCCGAATGCGTTCGTCTCTCTGTTCTATGTCCCGACGAGCGGCACGGAGACGCATACCGATCTCATAAGCCGTGTAAAGTCCCCTCACCGCCCCGTGAACGCCTTCACGAAACACTTCGAAGTCCGAACAGCCTACCATCGACTGTTGAACTTCGGGCGAAAAAATCTGTCGAGCAAACTCGACTGCCACATTTGGGTCTCGAATGATGGAATCCGCCTCCGTCATCGGTCTGTTACCCACGAAGACTACAAAACTCAATGGATGAGGAGTTGCGTCGGATTCCCTTCCAAGATGAGATTGAAGAGACTTATGTTGTGGCTGGCTAACCCTTCTAAGCGATCTACTCCGACGTCGAGGAGATTGGTGTCTCTCCCGACCCCTCGACGTCCTACCGCCCGTGCGTGACGGTTCACCGCTTCGATTCATGGCACCTCCCAGCTCAGCTAGCATCTTCACTTGACCTCTGCTATTGAAGAAAAGCTTATTTGACATTCGCACTTGTTTTGCCTTCCTCAAAGAGCGTGATTGAGATGCTCATTTAGCACGTAAATAAGACCCTCGTTCACGAAGTACACGCCCATTTATTCCCTACAAGGGCAACATCTCCGAGGCTACCTCATTAATAATGAAACGCCAATAGCCCGTCCTGTACCGTCCTGTACCAATTCCAATCGCCCCAATCGCCGACTGAATTAAGCCCCAATCGCCCCATCAACTGCTGATATACGGCGTTCTCGGTTCATGAACCATCTGGGGTAAGGGCAGATTCATCAATCTATACGGCTCGAGTGCCCCAGCTGTTCCACGAATCGATTTATCTGAGCACTAGTCTTGAATTCATTTTGTTTCTGACTAAATCAGATCAATATATATGGCTCGAGTGCCCCAGCCATTCCACGAATCGATTCTTATGTGCAAAATTTATTACGTTTTATTCGGCGTTCTATGTTCATGAACCAGCTGGGGCAAAAGCAGATTCATCAATCTATACGGCTCGAGTGCCCTAGCCGTTCCATGAATCGATTTATCTGAGCACTAGTCTTGAATTCATTTTGTTTCTGACTAAATCAGATCAATATATACGGCTCGAGTGCCCCAGCCATTCCATGAATCGATTTTTACGTGCAAAATTTATTACGTTTTATTCGACGTTCTACGTTTATGAACCAGCTAGGGCAAGGGCAGATTCATTAATCTATACGGCTCGAGTGCCCCAACCGTTCCATGAATCGATTTATCTGAGCACTAGTCTTGAATTCATTTTGTTTCTGACTAAATCAGATCAATATATACGGCTCGAGTGCCCCAGCCGTTCCACGAATCGATTCTTACGTGAAAAATTTATTACGTTTTATTCGGCATTCTACGTTCATAAGCCAACTGGAGCAAGGGCAGATTCATCAATCTATACGGCTCGAGTGCCCCAGCCGTTCCACGAATCAATTTATCTGAGCACTAGTCTTGTATTCATTTTGTTTCTGACTAAATCAGATCCCTAATTTTAATCGGCCATGAAGTCTGCCGTCTCACGCATGCTTGACATTTTGTTCTAACTGCTGACTCTCCTAACTATACACTCATATAACAGACAATACGAAAAATAACTTGAGAGCATATAAAATTTTCATTCATAAACTGGGCGCTGGCAGCGGACATTTTACATATGAAAATCCAAAAAATGTACATTTAATATACTTAATAAAACTAGAATGTCTCCCAGATCAATCCTCGGGATCAGACTCAAGTGGCTCAACGTCCACTTGCTCGTATGGAATTGGCATGGCCAATGTAGCTCCAACGGTAGCAAGGGCTTTGAGCCACCTATGTTTGAATCCCCGATTTTAGAATTTGGGGACTTCGTCTACGTATTCCTTGAAGGCAGCGCTCTTTCCAGCCTCAAGCGCCGTAGAAACTTCGGATTCGGCTTTTTCCTTGGCCACCTTCAACTCCTTTAACTCAGCCTCTGCCTTGGCAAGCGCCTCCTTGGCTAACTCGAGCGATTCCTCGCTCGCGTTCGCCCTATCCTCGGCTTCGGATCTGAGCTGGTCAGTAGTTTGATCCCTTTCCATTTCCGCTTTGGCTCGCGCATTTTCCATAGCGGCCCTCATCGCCTCAAACTCGGCCCTGCTTCTTTCACCTTCAACTTCAGACTTTAAGAGGCCAATTCTTTCGACGGCATCATGCTGCCGGCGGCCTAGTTCGACTATCCTTCCAGCCGTCTACAAAACAAATTGGGATCATCACATCAAGCAATATAGCGTGCAAACCAAATCAAATGAGCAGAAAAGAGAATATCATATATATACCAGAAGGGCAGACTGGGCAGCGAACGCTATAAGCTCCAAATTTGGCTCTTCTTGAAAGGTGGCCTTATCAGTCGGTAGTGAAACTGAGGCGGCCAAGCTCAACGCTACGGCCGGATCCTTTATGACGGATGCATCATTAGAGATTGGCATGTTTTTGATCTTTAGTTAAACAACAAAAGGAACAACCACGTCGGATTCCTCTAAATGAGGCCTTTTGCCAACAAGACTATCCTCCGAGCCTGCGTCTCCCTCAGCATTACGTTTTTCGCCCCGTTCTTTACGAACTAGTCGTTCTTCTGTGACCTGCTATTCGGCCTCCCTCTCTGTCTTATCCAAAATGATTTGAGTCGTTTCTTCCGCAGTAACGAGTTGTAAAGATTCAACCGAGGCAGGCTCAGAACAAGTGGCCTCTGCCTTCTTTCGAGCAGCCATTCGCTCGGCATTTCTCTTTCTCGCCATCTGCGTGAGATTTTCCCCAGCCATGCCTTCAGAAAAATCTCTGGGCAGGTCCCCTAAATCCGTAAAAATGTCTCCGAAAGAAAACTCTACCCGACCTGAAATGGACGGTGAGTTAGGCTGGTTAAGATCGGCAGTTTCAAACGCTGATTTCAGAGCTTCGTCGACCTCTTTGGCCTCAGTAATGAACACCCTGGTTGATTCGGCGACCACCTCGACTTCCGGCTCTAAGTCTTGCTCCAAATCGGAAGTCTCGAGACCAATCTGTCTCAGGGACTTGAAGCTGGGGAAAATAAAAGCCGAATGGTGTTGTTTGTCGGTTAGGATCGGAATGTTGTCTGCGGCCGAGAACGTAGTATAGGTAGGCTCATACCTCAAAAGAATATGGGTGGCTCTGCCTTGTTTCTGTACGTTTGGACGGCCAAAATACTTTAGCGCAGTCTTAATGTCCAAAAGTACTGCGTCGTCAGCCGAGGTCAAAACCCTCTTCAACTTATTACTTGCAAAAACGGAGGATTATATTTGGAGAAGAAGACGGAGAGAAGTTGCAGAAAATACGTCGGAGAAGAAAAACCGATAGGCGGTCCAGAAGGTTCAAATATTCGAAAAAGTATGTGTTCGAATGGACTTAAACTTCAAATCATAATAAATGTGAGAGAAGCACCAATGAGGCGAGAAGGCATTACAGTGACCAAAAAGCATGTACGCGTCCTAACATACATTGAGAAGAGGATTAACCGCTGAATTTCTATTTTCCCAAATCAGGAACCAAACACGCCGACTAACTGATGCTAGAAGGGTGTTTAGGGGGCAATTGTGGGAGCCGAATTTTAAAGGAGGCATACTTTAACAGACAGGTATTGCCCGGCTCTATCCAGAACCATCAGGATGCCGAATATAAAGGGTAGATGGGCCGAATAGGTACTGAGCTATGGAGCCGAGTAAATATGAACATAATGAGCGAAAAGTGGACCTGGACCCGAGGCCCAGGGAACGAGTATAAATAAAGGAATAGCAGACTGAGAAAGGTATGTGATAATTGTGGTGTTTAACTTAGAATACAAGTAATCTAGAACGAGAGACTGACTTGTCTGTCGGAGTGTCAATTCAGGCACCCCCGACCGGAGTGTTTATTTCCTTTCAGGTGCCTATCGGTGGATCACGAGCGTCCCCTAGGATCAGAAGAGTATTTCCTAAAACCACTTTCCCACAGCATCTAACTACTGAGCATGAACATACCATGTACAACCTTTGGTTTCTTTCATTGCGCAAACAGCAGTTATGCGGACAGAGTCTGTTTTTACATACTTGAACTGAAATCCACATTCCACAGGGTATTTTTATAACACTTTACGGAAATCCGAAGCTCCCCCCTTAAAATGCTGGCCTATGTAAGTGAACCCGGTTGCCCATGTAGCTGAAAGGTATGTCTTCTCAATGTGTGGGCAAAATGTTGGCAACAGATCAACATCGTCGTCAACATCCAAGTTGTTTCCTGTCGTACCCTGTTAGTATATATTGCCCTGATGTCAGCCTCATTGCCAACAATGGCCCGTTCCCCCCCCCCACTCGAGTGTTGTTCAATTATCACATCAACAAGTTGTAGCCAGAATGAATGGGCAAGACACACCATATTCTACATGTCAACATCATTCTGCAAAACAAAATTGTTATATCCAGGAATCTTGTAAAATAACCGTACTCTTCCCAGTAACAGCCCGTCGTATTTGGTAAATACAAAATCAACGAGTTCGGAAAAATTGTATGGCAGTTGTAGTTTATACAGGATATTAATGGATTGGTAACAACATAAAAGTATGAAAAAAGAGTTCATCTGCACAAGCCAATGCATTTATTCATAAAAAATCCACTCAATTGTAAATATAGAACCAATAAACTAATGGCATAACTATGCGTTGTTGTGTGAATTGTAATGCACAAAACTTGTTAATACGTCTAGATCATATTGAGAGAAATTATATTCAACAATGTTATTCACCATTTACACATGCCGACATACAAGGAACTAAACCGTGAGATGACTGTAACATACCTGGATGCCACCGAAGATGTTCTCGTCGTCTTCAACAAACGTCACCCACAGCCCACACACAAATGGCACAAAACCCTAATCTCCTACATTCAAACCCTTTCTAACTGATATTTGCAACCTATCCCCCGAAATATGGGGTCACAAATTCCAAAAGTAAACAAACTTTCCAAAATAAACAAATGAGGGTATATCAGTCACCAAATATGCATCCACATTTGAAATGGGACTCTGTGGTATCCAATTACACCCGTATAGGACTTGCTAATCAAACATCCCAAACGTGGGACCAAATGGTCCATCAGTTCCCAAAATAGGACTTTTGAATAAATTTCCCTAAATTATAAAATTTACTAGTGATATTTCATTTGTATATTACTACAGTGGCTTCATTATGGCTATGTATCAATAAACTTTCCTACCAAACATTTAAAATTTAGTAGTGATTTCAAATCTATTCTAACATTCATTAACAAGGACTCTGTTACTATTTTTTGATCAAGTCCAAAATAGTTATATACTAAACTTCTTCCTGTATGGATAATTTGTGAGTGGCATGCCCTGTGCTGTAAAAAGTTACACAAATTTGGAAAGAGTTAAGTAGAAAACCATTTTTTTGTAGTGTTGTGGTCACTGTGGAGAGTTAGGGATGATTTAATTTTCCAAAGTATTGAACCAGGGAAATTGGAATTGGTTAATTTGATTAAGTAAGGGCTTCTTTTTGTTTGAAAGCCTATGCTTCAATTAAACCAAAAAGTGAAAGAATAAAAATAGAACAAACACACAAGCACACAATGATTTACGTGATTTGGTTGTAAGCCTGCATCCACAGACAAAAAACAGCAGAGGAATTTTACTATGAATGTAGAGAATACGATGAACCCTCCCTCTTACTTTGTACATAGGATTATCTGGGTCGAGTTTGGGACATTCTCACAACAGATGACTTGAAGCAACAACAATCATGCTCCATTAAACCTTAATTGAAAATCCTCTTGATACCCCATTACCGCCACATCCAATCAAAACTTCTTGTAGACAGCCCTTCTTTGGCATCTTCCACTAATCTTTTCTGCACCTTACAAGCGTGAATTTCACCGAGGTCTTGAGAAACAATATCATCCGAATGTCTTGTGGCCGTGCAATTATTAGGTACTTGTCCATTTGATGCTGACTTTGACGTGAGCAAATAAGGTTTAGGAAGATTGAATGTACTCATGAATGATGAATGAAGAATACCTTATACTGCTTTTGGATGAACAACTCTGTTTCTTTCGTCCACGATACTCTCAGTAAAACACCATCTCCAACTGAAGCAAAGGGATGGCCTAAGAGCATATTGGCAGTCCACCGTGACTTGGGATCCCTAACCAAGTACTTATTCAAAAAATCTTCAGCGTCTTTTGAGAACCCACTCTGAATTTCAGGTATTTCTTGTGTACTTGCTATTTTAAACAAGATAGTTACTCTTTCTGTACTCCGGTCGCACTTCCAAGATTCTTTTCCAGTCAACAACTCTAAAATCTTGCACCCTAATGCCCATATGTCTGCTTCTGGTTTATAATCTTCATAGCGAATGGACTCTGGTGCCATATACAGTGCCCCTGATTCCTAGCTTTATTCCTTTTTCTGTCAACCTTTCTCCAGCCTTCTTTACAAGCCCTAGGTCAGCAATCTTTGCACTACTTTCTTGGACCCTTTTCCTCCTCTTTCCATTCAAATCCATTGACAAGTCATCATTTTCCTCCACAAGCAATATATTATGAGGCTTGATATCACAATGAACATAACCCTTGTTTTGAATGTAACTCTGACCCAAAAGTATAGAATTTGTGTATCGTCTCACCTCAATCTCGAGCAAGGTTCTAAATCGCAGTATCGGATAACGTAATAGTATCAATTGCGGAGTATCGGTATTGGTAGTATCGATTGGTACGTATCGGGAATCGGGTGTCATGGCAGTGAAATTTTAAAAATCATTTTATAGGTTTTTCAGCTTTTTCCTTCCCGTACCGGTCCAAACTGGTAAGTATCGGCCCATTGCGGCTTGTGTAATGGTTACAGACCGATACATATCGGGACTCGGCCGATTCTCCTGTGATTTTCAATCTTAGCGGTATACCGGCCTATATCCGTCGCGGTGCCCTATTTTTCTGATACGTATCGGCCGATACGCAGTGTACCGGCCGGTTCTTAGAACTATGGTCTCCGGTAGTCCTCCGTCGTAACTTTGAATGCGATCAGCCAAACTAGCGGCATACTCCAACAAGATGTACCACTGCTCTCCATCTTCGATCGTAACGCCGTCCCCAAAATAGCAAAAAATGTGAGGACAACCTTCAAACTAACTGAACAACTCTCTTTTGATGTAAAGCAATTGGGAGTTATTGACGGGCGGATTTGACAGCCATGTGAGAAGGTAGTAGTAGATCATTACTTCTTGTGGGTGAAACAACTGATACACCATTGCAGAACCACCCTTTCCCAATATTTTCCCTCTCTTCCACATCATTACACTCCAAGAAGACTCACTCTCTCTCTCTCTCTCCGCAAAACTCTCTCTTTCACTCTCAAAGAAACTCACTCACTCTCTCTAGAATTTGCTGATAAGTGGTGTTGTTTATAGTAGATATGGCAAAACTCTCTCTTTCACTCTCAAAGAAACTCACTCACTCTCTCCAGAATTTGCTGATAAGTGGTGTTGTTTTGTTTATAGTAAATATATATAAGGTTTTGAGTTTCTTGGTATGGAAGCATTATTAGGAGATTGAAATTGGAAGTTGTTTACTTGTTCATTATCAGGGGGATTATTTTACGCTCTAGACTTTTACTTTAGTTTGGATTGGATTTCTATGTTAATACATTACAGACTTTTTAATTTAGTTTGGATTGGATTGGATTTCTATGTTAATACGTTAGGGTTAACTTACGAATTTCCTAAAATAAGATATGATTTATTTGTAAGTATTTTTTATAATAAAAATATGAGCGTGTGAACATATTTTATGTATATTTGTTAAAAAAAATTGAACATATGTAAGAAATTATATATTTATGTTAACATTATGAAATGAATAGTTACATATATTTATGTATAAAAAAAAATGATCTAAGATAGAATTACCTTAAATTATAGGTCATATTTTAATCATGATTTTACACCTAATCTAAAAAATAATAATTTTGATTAATTAATAAATTAATTTTTTAACTGATTTCAAAAGGAAGCCTAAATTATGCTTTAAAGAGCTTAGCACTCAGCTCATAATTTGCAACTCTATTTAGGGTGAAACACCATGGATTTTAAATCGTGATCTTGTGAACTAATTAGTCTTTCTTTTTTTCTTACAAATTCAAAGGTCCCGTTAAAGTGAAAATTATAAAAAAAAGGCAGTCACTTATACGTTTGGATTTAATTTTTAAAAATTATACGGCAATTCACATTATAGAGGTTTTGGATTTTTACCTCTTTCTAGAACAAATCTCACAATACGAATAAAAATATAACACTCCAATAATGTAATACTCCAATGTAACATACAAGAAAAATTCCTTAGTGTACTTTTCTCAAACATAACACTTCAATCAATATATAATCTCAAACGTAATACGCCAACGTTACACACATAAAAATACTAAAAAAACTACTAAATGTATTTTTTTTCAAAATGTAACACTCACAGTTTGAAATTATACATTTACCCAAAGCTTACTAAAGAATTTTTGTACTTTTTTTGGAATGGTTTGAAAAATTCCACACCCTTTTAGAATGATTTGAAAAATCACACATCCTTTTTTTTTTGGAGTGTTGCATTAGAGTTTACGTTTGAAAAAAGTACGCTAGGAAATTTTTGTGTGTGTTACATTGAAGTGTTACACTAAGCAAAGTGTTACATTTAAGTGTTGCGTTTGAAAAAATATATATTAAGAAGTTTTTTTGGAGTGTTACATTAGAGTATTACGTTTAAGTGTTACATATTGAAATTATACGTTTTCTCAAAACTTACTGAGGAGTTTTTGTACTCCTTTTGAAATATTTGAAAAATCTCATATCATTTTGAAATGTTTGAAGAATCTCATATTTCAAGTCATTTTTATACTCTCTGTAAATGTTTGAAAAATCTTACATTTCAAGTCATTCAAAATAAAAAATATTCTCATATAAACATTCATTCCAAATTTGATTACCATCAAGTGTGTATCTTACCTTTCTAATACAAAAGAAAAAAGTAATAATAATAATAAAAATAAGGGTATAACTATAAATTTAATTTTTAAATAATATATTAAATCTACTTTTTCAAAATCAATTGAACTAATTGATCTATAAAAAAATGCTTGGTACTAATCGGATTATTTTCCCTCAAGATGGGATTTATAGGTAAATTTTTCCTATATTTATGGCATAAAAAAAATTTATATAGATATATATATATATATATATATAAGGGACAATTGCAATTCAATGTATTTTTAAAAAATAATTTTACATTCATTAAAATTTTATAACTTTAATTATTAACTAGTATGTGATTCATGTGATATAATATGGTGGGTGTTAGAGAAGAAAGGGGTGACAAAAGGTTACATTGACGTGATTAGGGACATGTATGAAGGGGTGGTGACCACTATTAGATCGTCAGCTGGAGAAACAAATGAATTTCCTATCACTGTAGGGTTACACCAAGGATCTACCTTAAATCCTTATCTTTTTGCTTTAGTTATGGACGAGTTGACGATAAATATTCAGGATGACGTGCCATGGTGCATGCTTTTTGCAGACGATATTGTGCTAGTGGATGAGACTAGAGAAGGAGTTAACACAAAGTTAGAGATTTAGAGAAAAGCTCTTGAATCTAAAAGATTCCGGATAAGCAGAACTAAGACAAAATACATGGAGTGTAAATTTAGTAACAGTAACAATGAAAGCAGAGGAGAAGCGAAGATTGAGAACCAAGAATTGCCTAAGAGTGAACATTTTCGTTATTTAGGGTCGATTATCACAACAGCAGGAGAGATTGATGAAGATGTGGCCCATAGGATTAAGGCGGGATGGTGTAAGTGGAGAAGTGCGTCTGGGGTATTGTGCGATAAACAAATACCCACTAGACTAAAAGGTAAGTTTTATAGAACGGCTATTAGACCAGCTATGTTGTATAGGACGGAATGTTGGGCAATCAAGAAACAACATGTAGATAAGATGAGTGTGGCTGAGATGAGGATGCTAAGGTGGATGTGTGGTAAGACTAGACAGGACAGGATTAGGAATGAGTGTATTCGGGAATGGGTAGGAGTAGCACCGATAGAAGATAAGTTGAGAGAGAATCGTTTGAGATGATTTGGTCATATTCAACGGAGACCAACAGAGGCAGTAGTGAAGAGATGCGATGCTGTAACGATAGATGGAAGTGTTAGAGGACGAGGTAGGCCTAGATTAACGTTAACTAGTGTTTTAAATAGAGATATGAATCTACTTAATTTGACTAATGAAATGGCCTTTGATAGGGCCGCGTGAAGAAGAAGGATTCACGTAGCCGACCCCATTTGATGAGACTTAAGGCTTGGTTTGGTTATGTGATTCGTGTGATGCACGGGAATTTATTTTTAAAATGCAAAATTGATTTTGAATCTACTTTATGTGTAGAAAATTTTAATAATTGAAAGTCAAATACAAACAGATTTACTAATGACTAATGAAAATTTTTGTGTTGTGTTAATTAATAAATTTATCAAAAATCATAAATTCCACTTGTATCAAAATATTTTTTCTAAAAAAAATAAAAACATCAAAAAAGTCTATAATATACAAATTATGATTTGGTTATAACTCATGGTGTATTATTATAGTTATTAATCGAAGAAAGTCTTGACTACTTTCTTATGTTTTTTTATTATATGTTGTTATTAGTAAATGTTTTCCATATTCTCAACAACAAAAAAAACAAAAAAAAGAAATGGTGCATCGGATCTTTAATTATGTTTCAAGTGATCTTTGATTATGATATATTATAATATTTTTATATGACAATGTTTAAGTATATTTTATTATACAAAAAAAGTGCTTAAGGTGGATTGTCTCAAAAGTAAGATTTATGCTTATATCAGTAAGATCGTAAATGTTATTTACATTGATGCATAAAAAATTACAAATTCAAATCATGATCATCATCATGAAAGGGAATCAGTTAAAATTCACATCTGTTTGTATTGATATTGATTGATGATCATGATTCCAACCAAATTTGGTTGGAATCATGATCATCAATCATGATCATCAATCAATATCAAATTGGACAATACACGTATATGTAAATCACTTCTAAAAATATGATGTCCGACGTAAAATCATAATGGAGTTAACTTTAATTAATGTAATGATATTTTATATTATGATATGTGTTACAAAAGAATAATAATAATTTTAATTTAAAATAAATTTATAATTTAAATTATTTATTTTAATAATCGTAGTCTATCATTCTATAAAAACGTTATTTGAATACTTATATAATAAATTTAGTTAAATTATTTGTTTATTTTGATCATTTTAGTTCTATTGTGCTATAAAAGTGTAATTAATGATTTTATATGAT